AAAGAGCAGCACGCAGAAGAAAATTCCTTGGGACTCCATATGACTCATGGCCTTGAAAATTAGGGGCTTAAGATCTCTTAAGCCCCTAATTTTCAAGGAGGAGTGACTAGAGGATGACTTCCTAAAGGCTGGGGAGAGAGTCAGAGAAGAAACTGAGACAACGAGGACTCACAAGCATCTCTTGAATAGATCTCGCATGGCTGGATGCCCTGGGAGACGTGTGTACAGATTCTGTGGGTGCCAACGCAGGCTTCTGATGGCTACCAAAAGAGTAACCTGGAACCAAGGGGATAGAAATTTTCTGAATAATTTTTCAGTGTCCTGAGGAACCAGAATTTAGCTCTAGCAAGGCTGGAGAGAGATGGAAAAGGTAGAACTAGGAAGTAGAATGAAGACAATTCATGTAGTATTTAATGGAAGTAGCATAACTTTGTGCTGTTTGCATCTTTCTAGAAAAACAAAGAAAAATCGGCTGGGTGCGGTGGCTCAAGCCTGTAATCCCAGCACTTTGGGAGGCCAAGGCGGGTGGATCACGAGGTCGAGAGATCGAGACCATCCTGGTCAACATGGTGAAACCCCGTCTCTACTTAAGATACAAAGAATTAGCTGGGCATGGTGGCACGTGCCTGTAATCCCAGCTACTCAGGAGGCTGAGGCAGGAGAATTGCCTGAACCCAGGAGGCGGAGGTTGTGGTGAGCCAAGGTCGCACCATTGCACTCCAGCTGGGTAACAAGAGTGAAACTCCGTCTCAAAAAAAAAAAAACAGAAAAATCAAGACTGTACTTGAGATTCCCATTCTTGAGGCAACGCTTGTATGCCCAGCCGTCTGCTTGCCTGGGGTCGTGCAGTCCAATGAACGTTTCCAAGCCAGTTGTTAAATGCAGCCATTGTTAAAAAGTTTAAATTACATAAATCTATAACTAAATGATATTAAAGCAAACGTGATAAGTACTCAGAATTCACCACTTCCTGATAATTTTGCTACAGTTCACTATTACCTAAGCTCTTAAAGTTATTTACTTTCTCTAATGTATCTGTATCATGGAAATACTATACAATAATGTGCTACCAAATATTTCTCCCAATTCCATGCCAGTGACATCATGTTGGGAGCTTGAATTCAGCCATAGTGGAAGCACTGACATCATCAAAATCAGCAGAGACCACAAATCAGGGCTTCCCAGCCCCTTGTCCACCCTCCACCCTACTCCCAAAGCCACTGTTGAAATGTATTACCACAAGTGATCTCCTCCAGCATGGAACAAGATTTCATGCAGGAGAAATAAACAAAAAAAACACCAAGGCGTCCCTGAAGCAAAATTTCAGAAACAGAAACTTCCCTCCCTCGTTCTCCTGGGGTGGTAAGTACAGTGATGACTGTGATCTCAGCATTGGATTTAGGAACTCTCTACCTTCCCTGCTGACTCAGCCTAACAGGAAGTTGCCCTCAGAGTCTGTCTGAAATCTCTCTTGCTGCTTTTTCATGAGCCTTTCTTGCCAGAGCCTCACTGGTCCCACCTCCCAAATAGTGGCTAAGTCTGATCATGGCTCCCTTGCTCCTGGAATGATGTGGAAAGATGATGTCATTCAACCACCTGCACAGCCAGCTGGCTGCCTCTGTCCCTCAGCACCTTGCAGGAAGCTGAGCTGGAGGCTCCTCAGACTTGGAGCACCCTACCCAAGTCACCATCCCTGCCTGAGGGCAAAAGCATGCCAGACACAGTGCCCTGCTGAAGATCTCCTTATTTATGACAAGTCATCTTATAGATGCTCATAAATATGACCAAATAAATGAAGGGATAGATGGTTCCTGGAATTATCTTCTCTTCTCCATATTTAATGTCCTTTCCCCATACCCCTTCCCATTACCAAGAACTCCCCAACTTCCACCCCCAAGTCAGTTGTCTCTGGTTCCTTTGGCCTCATTACTATCTCTCATATCTTCCAGCACGCTCTGTAAAAGCAGAACTGGCAATGCCATCACCCCTTTGCAAATACCCAAGGCATCTCAAGGGTTTCCTAGTTATATGTTACTAAGAAGGGTTTGAGGGCTTCCTAAACCCAGACACTTTGAGGCCCGTGCACACCACACACTTCCTGTGGCCCTAGAATAGGAGCAGGAAAAATGAGGAAGACTAGCTTCTCCTCAAGAGAAGAGACAGAGAGAAGAAAGATGCTGGGCTCTCAACAAGCAGGCAGCTGGGGAAGGGGAGGTAGAACAAAGTGCCCTCGAAGTGCTCTTCTGATCACCTCCTACCAACTAGACCAGACGAGTGTCCAGTGTGTGCCTGTTGCAGCCATCCTGTATGGAGTGCAACCACTTGATCCACTAGAGGCAGCTGAATTAGAAATGCAACGCTCTGGGGTCCCTAAGAGTAGAACTCGAATCAAGGGATAAAAGCTATATGGGGACAAAAACTGGATTCTAGAGAAATATTCTGTTGAATACAGACAGTCGGAGGCCAAGTGGCATGCCTTGGAAGATAGTGAGCTGCCACTGGGGGTTTTCAAGAAGAGGTTGAATATCCTTTGTCAGGAATTCTATAGAAAGAATTCAAATACCAGAGAAACATCCTGCTGTCCTGGAATCAAACATGCCTAGATCAAATCCTGAATTATTATCTTTGTTACCTTGGTCAAGATGCCTAATCCCTCTGAGCCTCAGTTTATTCATTGATATAATGGGAATAATACACAATCTCATAGTACTAAAGTAAGGAATAAATAGACAAAGAACACAAAAGCAGCTGACAGTAGATGCTCAATAAATGCCAATCCCCTTCCCACCAAAAGAGGGGCCAGGTTAGCTGACCTTGAAGGTCTTTCTACACCAGAGAGTATGACTCTAAAACCCTTGCTGGCCATTAAGAAAGAAGGCATACATCTAAAGAGATAAAGAAGTCAGGATTAGGTCAATGAGGGGAAGAGAAAGAAGGATGCTGAGAACAGTCAGGGAATATTTGGAGGTCATCCATGACAGATCCCCGTTCTACCATCTGCCCTTCTAGAATAAAATGGAAAAGTAGAAGTGGGGATTTAAAGTCCAGCCTGAGGGGCCTCAGTTTCCCTGTGTGTATAGTGAATGAGCAGGATTTTTTTAATTGAACTTCACTTCATCATGCTCAGTAAACACAGCTCATTGTAAATCCAGCCAAGGCCTTTCCCAGCAACTCATTCAGCTATGTACAACCATGGTACCTGCAGACTGCACATCCCTTCCCAAGGACAGGGGGCTTGGGAGAATGAGATGACTAGTTTTATGTGACAATGGATGGGAAACAGCAGCAGTATTGACTGACACCAAATTAAGGGGAAAATATGAAGGAAAAAACTCAAAAACAGAAACACACACACACACACACAGAGAGAGAGAGAGAGAGAGAGACAGAGAGAGAGAGAGAGAGACAGAGACAGAGACAGAGAGAGGGAGGGAGGGAGGGAGGGAGACAGAGCAACCTGCCAAAAGAATAATATTGAGATCCTGGTTTTGGTAGAACTAAATATAACATCTTACATTTCCACAGGCAAATTGCCCAACAAATTGAAATGGAAATATTCCAATGTTATTACAGACAAATATAATGTCAACAGCTTGCTATTCTCCTCAGTAATTCATTATAAACCAACTTAAAGACCTAAAGTACATTGAAAACATCCGCCAAAATATTCCAGAGTTAAGTGTAAACAAATAGCACGAAAGAATCCAGAAGAATGACCAAATAAAATCAAGACAGGCCAAACAGATGAAGCACAAAGTCCCAAAGGATTCTGAGGGAGGTCTAAGCTAAGTTCTAACATCCCTGAAACAATGGACCAAAGTGGTAAGGTAACACTATCCAAGTTTTGGCATGGAAATAATAGAACCCACCTGCATTTCCTGATACACGTCTTCTAGCAGATAGGAAACTGCTGATTTCAGGAATTGTAACCTTTCCAATATATTTTTGCTACCGAAGCAGCCATCTCACTAAACAAGAGAGGACTTCTCACACCTATTAACTCAAACAGTGCTTACTGGTTTCCACCTTTTAACCAAAAATGACTAAAACATCGCCCAGAATACATTGTAAATATGATGAGGTGTTTAATGAGTGCTAGTAGCTGCTAAACAGCTGCGTTAATCCCTGTCTAGGAATGGCTGACTACTTCAGGGTGTAAGAGTATGGAGCTGGATCTCTGATAGGCCTAGATTCTAACCACAGAATAATCCATCATAAGGCGGTAACTGTAAAATATCTAAAAACTTTTTTTTCTAATATAAAGTAATGCTGCCGCATTCATTCATTCACTTGGTATTTCTCAAACATCCCTGTGGAATGGGCTCTGTGCAAATTGACCAGCTGTAGACAAGTGAAGAAAAGAAAAGCCACAAATTAACTGTTGAAAACCCCCAGCAGCATCCAGGTGAAGGGACTTACCATACTCTCCGAGTTCCATGACATAAGGTGTATCAACATGATTCCCCTCCTTCACCCAGCGCCCTAGAACTGTGGCACTCCGTTTTTTCTAATCTAAGAGGTGGTAATCTTATTTTCACATGTCCTTGTTTCTATCTCACGGGGTGCCTGTGTCTTCTGTGATCCAAGGACACGTTTCCTTTCAGCTTTCAACAACATACAAAGCCTCCCTAGACCTTCAGAGCACGTTTTTCTCAACAGAAAATATTGACACGTGAAAAATTTGAATATTTAGAAATGGCGAGTCTATCGCACTTTGCCAGTTTCTCAAATATCTATGATCGCTGACTTTGCGGTCATAGATACTCCTAATTCTTTTTTTCTGTTTTCCTTTTCTGTGCACTTTGCATGTTGTTGAAAGGAGTAGCATTGGATGGATCCTTCCAGCTCTGACTGCCAGAGATCCAAGCAGAAGGAGGGAGGAGAGGGGCGGGGACGGGGCGGAGCGACAGAAGCAACCCTCCCCGGCCCTGGGTAGGACCCGCTCCCCGCCCCCGACCCCGGTGCCCAACCTCCGTGGAACGCGGACAGCCACTTCGGACTCACGTCTCAATGTTTCTTTATTGTGCCAACACTGCAGCCTCAGAGCTCAGACCTCACACACAACAATTCGTCCAGACGGACCCCCACCCACCTGGCCCCCGGGGCCCTCTGCTTAGGCTGGGGACACCCGGCCTCCGGCCTCAGCCTCTCTAGGACACTGACTCGGCCTCCTCCTCCTCCCTCCCTCTCCCCAGAGCCTTCGACCCCTGGGAGGCGGAGAAGGCTCGAGATCGCCTTGCTGCGCCCTCGCCCGCCCCCACCCACTTGTAGGGAGAAGGCTCTGCCTCCCGACGCATTTCCTTAGGGAAATGCCTTCACCCCCAGCCGCCTGGCGGCCTAGGGCGAGCGAGGTCGGTACCAGCCCCGACGTGTCCCCAGCTGCGAGCAGAGGGCCCCGCGCCCTCCTCCCGGCCGGGGCGCAGCCCGGCGGCGCGCTCACACCAGGAGACCGTTCTTGCACTGCGCCAGCCCCTCGGCACAGTCGGCCGGCTCTGCGCTCTTGACCTTGACGTAGACCGGGGAGGGCCCCGCTTCGCAGGCGGCGGCGGCGGTGCAGGGCGCCAGGGCCACGTCCTCCGGGCCACCGCAGGGCGGAGGCGCGTACTTGCGGCGCAAGGAGCGGCTGACGTTCTGCGTCGGGTACCCCAGGAGGTGGGTGACGCGGCTGCCGCGCCCGCTGGCCTTGCACCGGGGCGCCACGGCGTCCTCTCTGTGGAAAACAACAGGCGGGCGGGTGAGCGGGCTGCTCCGCGGCGCGGCGTGGGCACGGCCTGGGCAGAGCCGGGGGCTCTTGGCAACCTCTGGTCTCCCGCACCTCCCTCCACCTGCCCTCGCCTCTCTCCCTTGGCCTCGACCTACTCTCCTTCGTGCCCCTTCCTGGGCCGACGACCCTGCAGCGGTCCCGGAGCCACCATCCCCATCCTCCAGACAGGGCCTGTCCGCGCGAATCTGGACAGCCCCGCAGGCAGCCCCCTCCAGGCCCCTCCAACCCTTTTCTGATGTTTCGCAGGGCGACCGCCTCTAACAGAGATCCAGAAGGAGCTGATTTTTCTCTTCTTCTTTCCTTAGCTAGCCCTGACCTTGCACACGCAATCTCTCTCTCTCTTTCTCACCTCCTGCGCCTCAATCTTCTCCATCTTTCCCTCCATCCCCGAGGCATTGCAATCATTAGCACTGCTAAACTTGTTCTATTTTTATTTCTAGTTTGCTTCTAATATGTTATTAGCACTATTCTTATTATTAGCTCTTCTTAAATAATCATGTCAGAGTTCTTACCGGCGCAGTACAGGGGAAACATGAAAAAACACAGGCCCTGCCCTCCAGGAGCTTACAGTCTAGACAAGACAGACAGGTGCAAGGCAGGAGGGAAATGGAGGGCAGGAAGCAGAGGTGAAGACGGGGGTGGGAGGGGGAGGGAAAAGCCATGCGTTGGGTGGCAGGTCGACATGCCGTAGTCCCAGCACTCCGTGGCGATGGCGGGCAGGGTTGGGGTGGGGGGCCCAGCCGGGCCGGTGGCAGGCAGGAGTGAGGCGAGCAGGGCGCCGGTTCCCCGCCGCACAGCAGCATGCAGCATGCATCAGGTTTTACCTGATCTCACTAGCCAAGTCGCCGCAGGCCCCTCCGCCGACCCCGCCGCCGTTGCTGTAGCCGAAGGCACCGCGGGCGCCGCCCCCGGAGCCCCCGCAGCAGCAGCAGACGAGCCCCCAGATGCCTACGGCCAGGCAGCCCAGTGCCAGCAGAGAGCCCAGCACCGCGGCGATGATCACGCCTACACGCCGCGAGTCTGTGGAGACAAGTGGAGGCCGGTCAGGCTTTCTCACAGCATGGCAGGTGCCTGAAGACCAGGACCAGGAGGTGCTAGGGCAGGGGTTAGTGGGAAAGAGGCAGAGGGACCCAGGGGGTCTCTGAGCCCTGGAACAGGCAGAGGGGAAGATGTGGGGAGATGCAAGTTAACCCCTTGTGTCAGCATGCTTCTCCCAGGGCTTCCAGCCCGGCGCAGAGTGGAAGCTGTGCTGGGAAGGTGAGACCTGGCTCCACAGGGGTAATTGTACCCACTGATCTTGGCCCACTTGCAGGAAGGAGCTGGGAGTCCCCACTGGCAAATGGATGGCAGTGGAAAGGCAGAAGCAGCTGAGGCTCCAAACTAAAACCCAGCAACCTCCAGTTCAACCGTCCCAACCACCCAGCCCCCAAGGCTGCACCTACCTGAGACCTTCACCTCCACCACGCAAACGCTGTAGCCCACGTTGTTGGCCACTGTGCACTGATACAGCCCATCGTCTGCTTTGGAGATATCCTTCAACACCAGGTCCCCATTGTTCAGGCCTGAAAGTGAAGTGGAGAGGCCTGGTCTCTGAGAGCTCCCACCCCAACCTCAGTCCCTGCAGGGTGGGGAATGGGACACCCACTCCAGAAGAAGGGAAGACTTATGCATGTGTGTATGAGTCCAGACACACACACACACACACACACACACACACACACACACACTCCACTCTCCAGGACAGTCACCTTCCCCCTGCTGTGACAGAGATGCAAGGAAGACCCCTCTCCCAGCAGCAAGGCAGAAACACCATTAATTCACTCTGTGAACTTAGGGAAATAGGTCCCCTCTCTGAGCCTTGGTCTCTTCCTTTGTACAGTGAGGACAGGATTAGACCAGTGGAACTCTAGATCCCTCCTAGCTCTATTATTCTTTGGTTAAATATTTTCAGCTTCTCTATGTACTAGGAGCTTTACACACCTCCCCCTCCCCCATTTAATCCTTGCATGCTTATGAAAGGTATATATTAGTATTCCCTTTCCATATGTGAAGAAATCAAGGCACAGGGAGGGTAAGCCGCTTGTCTTAGACTTGCAGCCAGTCAGTGTCCCTGCCAGGATTCAAGCCTAGCTCTGCCTGAGACTCTCTCCAAATTCGCTATACTGCTTTTGACTGACCCTCCACATCTGCCTTATCATCTCCCCTCAATAGCAGCTGCTAGGCCTCAGCGCTGTGGCTGATGCCTGTAATCCCAGCAGTTTGGGAGGCTGAGGCGGGCGGACCACCTGAGGTCAGGAGTTCCAAGACCAGCCTGGCTAACACAGTGAAACCCTGTTTCTACTAAAAATACAAAAATTAGCCAGGTGTGGTGGTGTGCGCCTGTAATCCCAGCTATCTGGGAGGCTGAGGCAGGAGAATCACCTGAACCTGAGAGGCAGAGGTTGCAGTAAGCTGAGATCTCACCATTGCACTCCAGCTTGGGCAACAAGAGCAAAACTATGTCTTAAAAAGATATATATATAGCAGCTGCTGAGGCAGGCACAGAGGGAGGGTCTCCCACAGGGGTTCCAGGTTTGACTTGATGCCACTGATAACCCAAGGAAACCCCAACAAGGTCCTAGAGCCCCTGATCTTCCATTCAGCCCCATACCGCCCTCGCCCAGGGCCCTCTCACCTTGGTTTATGGAGTTGTGAAAGGACTCCTGGTAGGACAGCTCAGAGTGGTAGCTGTGCTGGGAGATGTAAGACCCAGCTCGATAAGGGTAATGGTGCCCACTGATCTTGGCCCACTTGTAGGAGAGGGGCTGGGAGCCCCCATTGGCATAGCACTTCAGCACCACGTCGTTGCCATATGTCATGTGGCCTTCAGTCCAGCACATGGGCACTGCGGGTCGTGCTGCAAGGAAGCAGACAATTGTAAGCCAGGGCCCAGCAGAGAGACAGAGCCAGGCTCACAGCGACCAAGCTGCCCTTGGCTCTGAAGCCAGGGGAAGAGGAGCTCAGAGGAGTCTTGCCCTACCTTGGACAGTGACAATGACCTTCCGGGTGGCCATGGTGGTCTTCTTCACCCGGCATTCATAGGTGGCCGTATCAGATACCTGCAGGTTCATGAGGTTGATGGAGGCATCGTACTGGCTCGGGTCCGAGGCTGCAAAGCGGACCCTCTGCTGCAGATGGGGAAGGTTGCCATGGTTGATCCTCTTGTCCTGGTAACTAAGGAACTGTGAAGAGGAGAGGAAAACAGGTGGTGAGACAGGCAGAGCCAAGGACAGCCATGTGGGTTTGGCTGCTTTGGGCAATTCACTGAACTTCTCTGAGACTCTGTTTTCTCAACTGAAAAATGAGAATGATGATACCTGATCCACTGACCTTTTACAAAACTGAGGAGATCAAACAGTTGGAAAAGTATACGGTCAGACTGGGAACTTTTTGAAGGCAGAGACTATACCTTATCTTCCCCTTAGAACGGGGTGGGAGGAGGAAGACTAACTGACTAGCTTAATTCACAATTGCAGAGCTCTCATCCCCATTGCCCCATCCCCTGAGAGGCCTTGGGGGAGGCTCAAAGACTTAGTTTTCTTCTCCCCTTGGGATGTTGGCTGTCCAACAGGTAGACATCAGGAAGCATAGAGGAAGATCCCAGTGCCCAGCACTCACCACGTTCTCTCGGTGGTGGGCGGGGTCTGAGTTGACCTGCATCCACTCGATATCCAGCCCATTGGGACCATAGTCCTCAGGGTCCAGGACATAGGGGCAGCCCAGCCTCACATTATCACCTTCCGCCAGGTACAGGACCTCCTGTCCATCCCCGTTGATCCGTACAGCAGACAGCAGAGCTGGGGGAGGGCGGAGAAAATGAGTGGTAGGAGCAGAACCAGGGCTTCAGGAGGAGTCAGTATCATCCCTTCCCTTCACATCCGCTGTTCACTGCACCCAGATGTCGGGAGTGCTTTCATAAAAAGAGCTGTTTTTAGTGGGTGTGTATATGTGTGTGCATGAATTGTTATAGGCATGTAACAGCTATACGGATAGCTGTTACATATATAGCTATATGTACATATATAGCTATACATACAGCTGTTATATATAGCTGTTATGTATGCTTGTATGATTATGTGTATGCATGTATGAATATGTACACATGTACATTGTATGCTTATGACTATCTGTGGCTGCCTCTGTGTACTGTGAGGTTATTCATGTATCTGACCATGTAGCATGTCTGCTTGTATATTTGTGTGATAGTGTAGATGTGCTTGTGTGTGTGTCTGTGTGTGTGTGTGTGTGTGTGTGTGTGTGTGTATGTGTATGAAAGCATGTGGTACACCCAGAGGTGTCGAATGCTCTGATGGAAGAGCCTGGCTGGTTAAATGTCACCTGTCTGGGCTGAGTGAGGTGCTCCCGTCCAGAGGCAGCAGGATGGTTGCAATGGCTTCTGAGGCTCCTCTCCAGCCTGAGAAGCCGAAGACTGCACGTGTCCATGTGTGTACGGCATGTGTGTACACATGTGTGTATGACAGCATGTGTCTGTGTCTGTATGCCTCTATGTGGTTCTGTACAGTGGTGTGTGACCATGTGAGGCTATGTAAGTGCTTAAAAGTAACAGTGCATGCTTGTGCATGACAGTGGGCAGCTGTGACCAGGAGCCTGGCTGAGTTCATGTGTGATAGTGAGTGATGGTGTGTGCCTGGGACTGTGGCCACAGGTATCTGTAGGACAGTGTGACTCTTTCGTGCCTACAAAGCACTGTGGACTGTGTGTGCTTCCTCTTATGTGATTGTGTGCATGCAGCCGCCCCCACAAGCTGGCTCCCAGTGAGGCCCCTCCTGCCGCTGAGTCAGTGGCAGGCAATCCTGGGTGAGGAGCTGGGATCCCAGGACCCAGGAGCTCAGGCCTGAGCTCCTGTCCCTCCCTACCCTGAAGCCCCAGGCAAGCCTATCCCCAACCGGTTGGACCTAGAGAGGGCTAAGAGCGGGGATGCGTAGCCAGGGCCCCACCCTGGACACTGCACTCCACCACCCAGTCTCTAGCAACCCTGCCTCTGCAGGCCCCTCACCAAGCTTCATACACACTCTGTCTGCATTCTTTTTCGAGTCAACATGTCTTCTGGAGTCACAGCCCCAGGTCTCAGTAATCATTCTATCATTCTGTGGCTCGGAACCACGTTTACACTTAGAGATCTCACACATGCACACACAAAATTACACAGTCACAGGCAAACAAATCGACACGTGGCCGACTCTTACAAGCCTTCAAAATGCAGATACATACCTAGGTGGCCCCACCTTCCTACATACAGAGACACTATTAGATTCGTACAGACACAGACACAATCTGCACGCAAACACAGAACATACTGATTCAAAAGACACACCCACCGTGTGTTCATATAGTCCCTGTGTGTGTTCATTCAAGACCAGACATATCCATGGAAGCCCTGCCAGGAAGGCTTAGCTTGGCTTCAGTGAGGCCAGCAAGCGCACGTTCAACATCCTTAACACCTCAGGGATCCCTGAACTTCCCTCCTCGAAACACTGGCTGGGCCATCAACCCTGTCCTAACCCGGCTAGACTCCAAGGTGGCCCAGAGCAGGCAGGCTGGCTGCTGGGGCTCTAACGGGACCTGGTGATGCCTCTTCCAGCCCCAGGCCGAGAACAACGGCTCATTCCTGAGATAAGGATCCTGCTGCCGTCTGCCAGATCCTGAGGTGGCTCAAGGCAAGCCAGGGATGAGCCAGAACTCGGCTGAGAGCAGAGGCTCCGCCCTGGAGAAGAGCCGCCAGGAGCACCCACGCAGGGAGGACTCTCTCCATGCCATAGGAGCCTGCCAGGCAGGAGGGTAAGCTTTCAGGGAGAGGGGCTTGGGAAGGAGGGACAGGCTGGAAGAAAAGCGCCTCCGCCCTGCTCCAGGCTGAGAGCTTCTTCAATTGTCCCAGGCCGGGGAGCCTCACCCAGCTCTTCTATCTCCTTAGAAGTCTTCACAACCTCCTGCCAAGGGTTCCAGACTTTCCGCACCCCTCCCTCTCCTTGGGAAGTTGTTCCTAGTGTCTCGCCTTGGTTCCTCTTGCTGTAGCATTAAGGAAGTACTACAGGGAATGAGAGGGGAGAGGCTAGAGAGGGAAGAAAGGCAAGGTAAAAGAGAGAGCTGGATGGCAGGCTTGAGGAGGGAGGGGAATGGGGGAATCACACAGCGGTGATTCTTTGCCCCCCACAAAAGCACCAGAGGCTGGCCATGCTTTACAGGACGTCCTCTCAGTAGTGTGCCTATTCTCTGCTTGTAAATTCTTTCTGAGTCTTTAGGTGCTTCCAGAACTCCTGACCCTCCCTCTGGTGATGAGGGAGTGCAGAAAAGGCAGCTGCAGCTGAGGGTATTGAAGCGTGAATGCAGTCAGCACTGAGTGTCCTCACACGCCCATTGACGCACCACACAGGGGGATGTCCAGGTCCTCACAGCATAGCTGGAGCCTCCCGAGTGGACTCTGCCAGCCCTGCTCTCACCAGACAGAGAGGGCTGCAACTTTCCTGCCAGAAATGTCACCATTCCCACACAGGTGCACACGCCCACACACTCACATACATTCACGCTCACACAAAGGCTGAAAATGCACCCCCCCCCCACACACACACACACTCGTCTTTCGTGCCCCTTCATCCCAAGTCCAGACCGCAGGAGGGACTCGGTGATGTCGGCACACAATGTCCCTTGGTGGGACTTGCCACAACCTGGGCGGGAAGCCACAATGTCCAAACTTGAGCCCTGCTCTGCAGACCTGTCCTGGTGGGGTGAGAGGTTTCTGGAGTTGTCATCCCTACCACCTTCAGGCCTCATCCTGGCAGGGGCACTATCCTGAAACTCATAGCACAGGGGGCCCAGAGCCGAGCTCTCACTGGGCACGGTGGAAGCAATCACTCAGACTTACACCAGCCTTAGTCTCCCGCCCTTTAAAGTCAAGTGACTCCCCTGCCCCTTGGGTCTGGCCTTGGAAGAGGAAAAGTCGCCCTGGGAATAGCACACAGCCTGATGAAAATTCATCCTTCCCAGGCTCCTCCTCTGCCCTCCTACCCCACCTCCAGCTCCCGCAGAGTAATCCCTGTCCTCCCAGGCACAGCAGGAGCTTGCAGGGCACCCGCGCACATGTGTGAGCCCGACAGGAGACACGAAAAGACCCTTGCACCGCAGACACCCACCCTGGTCCTCAGGCACAGGCTCTCCTGGGGAGAGGACCCCTGGCAATATCCACATCCGGCTGCAGCAGGGCAAGAGTGGGCAGCACCCCTCCAGGCATCTCGGGCAGCTTCAGGCTCCCCCGTGAGCCCCTGCTGCACCGTTCTGCCCACCTGGCCTCATGCTGGCTGTCCCTGCCCCTGCCCAGCCCCGTACCTGGGCTCAGGCACACGAGCAGCAGGTGGAATGCTCCTCCAGCTCCCATGTCTCTAGGCTCGGCGTTTCCTCCGCCTGGGCTGGGTGTCCTGTGGGCTGGTGGTGGTGGGTGTGAGGGGGGTGGGTGGAGGGAGGGGGAGCTGAGGGCCCAGACACTGCCCGGGCTGGCAGGAAGGTGCAATGAGTGTCCGGCTGGGGAGCAGCCAGAGTTATTTCTATAGGAGGGAGGGGGCCTCGTCCCCGCCTTGGGGAGGAGTCCCAGGAACCCTAATTAGCAGGTGACAGGGTGGCCTACCCAGGCATTACCCAGCCCTCACCCAAGCTCTTCCCTGTCCCAAGAGTGGCACAGGACAGCCAGCGGGACTTGTAATTAGGCACCTGTTAAACTTCACTTCCTCCTGGCCACATCCTCAGGGTGACAACAGTCACCTCATTTACAGCTTCCAAGAGCTCCCCTCACCACTCATTTGCTGCCTCCTTCCCTGGGGGAAGTGGGAAAGAGGAAGGAGAAGTCAGGCTTGGGAGGAAGAGTGGCCGGGCCCTGAAGAGTTAATCCTGATCCCAGGTCATAGGGTTCCCCAGGAACATCCAGCCCACCTTCCCCAGAGGCCGCAGGTCTTTTGAAGGGATTCAGGGCTCCTGAGCTAAAAGAGGAGAGAAGGGGCGTGTGCAGGAACAGAGTCTCCTCCTGGCTGGCCCTTCTGGAACTGTGCTCCCCATTCATACTTGACTCAAGGCCATCCCCAAGTGTAGGGGACTCCCGGGAGCAGGGGTGCTATGGGGGATCCAGGGTGACTGACGGACTAGTGTGGGAGTGTTGGGGAGAGCAGTACCAAGGGGACTGACAGGGGAAGGGGGTCCCTGTGGAAGCGTGTGCACCCCTCAGCAATGTGCGTGTGGGAGGAAGGCAGGATGTCTGTGCCAGGGTGTCTCTCTGAGGACGGCTAAGCCCCTCTGAGTGAACTTCTAGAGGGATCGCTTGGTGTCCTGGCTTCTCTGCCCAGAGAGAGGGGCCAGGTCTTGGGGGTGAATGCAGTCCGAGTATTAACTGGGTCCTTGAGACCAAGGACCCTTGTAACCAGGACTGGTCACCAGGCTGACTAAGCCAGCACAGTTCTGGGTAGGTCGGCACTGGGGTGGGGAGGGTTCTGGCAGGTTGGGGGGGGCAAGTGGAGGGCCCTCCTTGTTAGCTGGTCTAAGGGGGACAGAACATGCCTGTGCCTCTCTGGATTCCATGGTGGGAGGCAGGACATGAGTGATCCCATTCAGTAGCTCGACTCCCTCAAGAGTCAAGGACTGTCCCCCTTCCCTACCGTGGGGCACAGAAAAGGCAGAGGGGGAAGAGTGTTGGGGAGGGTTATGGGGCACAGGGATGCTGCCAGGGCCCATCGCTCTGGGGAAAAATAAGACAGAACATTAGGGAAACACAAGGAGTCCACGCGTCTCTGCGTTCCAAACCCCTGCACCCAATTCCCAACAATAACAGGGCACTCTGAGACTTGGCAGATGTACACAATGAATATCTTTATTTCCTTATTTATTTTTATGGGATTTTCCTGCACCCTTTGAAGAGCAGGGTTCATTATCCCCATTTTACAGATGGGCAAACAGAGGCCTGGAGAAACATAGGGATTCAGCCAAGGCAGCTGGGGCCTGAGTTGGGATACCCAGGTACCCAGGCTGTCAGTCCAGAGTGATCCAAAGAGAGGTCTCGGTGATCCTGTGGATTACTAGACCCACTCACAAACAAGAAGCATGGAAGGTCAGGGTGGGTGGGAGGGAAAACAGGTGAGACCATGAATAGAGAAAGCAGTAAGGGGGTGGCTTTATTAAACTGAAGGGCAGACTTGGGATGTAATTGGGTTCTGGATGTGGGCTAATGTTAGAGCTGGGGTAAAGTTTGGGGTTAGTTGAATTATGAATAAGGTTGAGGTCGGATTTGAGGTTGCGATTCGAGCTAAGGTTGGGATTAGGGTTAGAAATACAGCCAGAATTGAGGCTAAGGTTTATGGCTGGGATTTGTGTTACAACAAGGAATAAAGTTTTAGTTTCATTTACAGCTCTGCCTGGGGATACAGTTAAGGCTAAGTCAAAGGATGGGTTTAGATTGATTTAGGATTGGGGCGACCATTGGGTTAGAACTGAGCTTGAGACTCACATTGAAATAGGCTACGGTTAGGGTTGGAACATGATTTAAAGACATGTAAGCAGCGGGAGTTGATGAGAATTGAAGATGAGGTTTTATTTCTGTTATAGACAGACTTCAGCCTCCATCTGCTCAATCCAGGTTTGGCTAGAATTGTCACCCCTTAGTGTGGGGAGACTACCAGTGGCACATGTTGACTGGGGTCTCAAGACTTTGAGGAGGAAGCCAAAGGTACACGAGCCCATCTAAGGGGTATGAGACCACCAAATCCCGTAGTGCACGGACCTCTGAAGTCCTGCTCCACTACCAAGCTCACCAGCTGGCCAAGCTCCAGGAAAAGCATTTAGGGAGGAGATGCAGGAAGCTACTGACGATGAATGGGGCTCTGACACCAAACCGAACTAGAACATGGGGTCCATCAGAGGGAGTCTTACTGGGTGGGGAGGAGGGGTGGTCTGCGTTTGGAGTCCTTAGGAGACGGGATTTAGGACAAACTAAGGGCCTACATGCTCCTAGAACAGCCGCTTTATGGTCCACCACATGGGGGTCCTTCAAAGCCTGGAAGGGCAGAGTGCCATGTTGCTCCCCTTGGCCTTCTGAGGCTTAATTGCTACCTCCTTGCTATTTGAATCCTGTAAAAGAAGCTGTCAGCCTTCCAGCCCTGTGCCCTGAGCCCTGCAGGGATTTCAGGGCGGTGGGGAGGCTGCGGAGGGAGTGAAGGCACTGGGGTGTCAGCACAGTTTCCATAGCATATGTCGCGATCCCACGGTCCCCTCTCTCCGGGAGCAGCCAGGGTCTGTGATTCTCTCTGGGCCTTATCCTCAGCAGTGGAAGAGGGCCCCGCTCCTAAGAAGACCCCATCCCAACTCCTCCCTCTCATTTTTCCCGACCCGGTCTCCACCCCAAACACCTCACTTCCCCACCCACTTCCTTTTCAGGTTTTATAAAGGTCTGGATCTAGGAGACTACTGGGGTTCCCTCTGTGGCCCCAGAGAGAGAGAGAAGAAAGAGACTGGGAGAGACAGTGATGCGTTATAGGGCAGAGACAGAGACTGGGACAGAGACAGAAACACACGTGGTCTAAATGGCCCCTCCAGAGGCTCAGAGGGAGACAGAGGAGGCAGAGGGCCCAGGCCGTGAGCTGAGTCTCAACACCAATTTCCAAAAGGGCCCCTTGCTTTTTCCTGAGAAATCCGTGACTCTCCAGGGAAGAACGGCCCTGGTTTGGGTGGTATTAGCTTCTATTCTAAGACAATCACAGAAAATCAGAGACAGGCCTAGAAAGGGGTAAACAGGGAGATACAGGAGGTAGAAAGAGGCTGGACAGAAACCCAGGGAAGTCCAGAGACTGCTTCCAAGATGAGTGCAGCCCAGCCCCAGAACATTTTCGGGAAGGGCAGGCAGAGGGCTTGGCCTGCCTACTCTTCCTCCAAAGTCCCTTTCACGGCAACGCCACCCAACTCCCCTAAGCCCTGCCCTCCTCTGCCTGGACCTGCCCACCCCAACCCCTCTCCAGGCCGCCAGACTCCCTGGGCTCAGGCTTAGTCAAGCTCCCCAATCCCTAGCTTGGCTGGCACTGCAACTTGACTCTCTAGGCTCCTCCCCACGCAGTCAGCAAGCTCCTCAGCCCCCTCTCCCAAGTCCCCACGCAGCCCAGGGCTCGCCCTGCAGCACCCAGGGAGGAGCTGTCCTGCAGAGGAAACCTCTGAGGCAAGACCCTGGGAGCAGCAGCCGTGAGAGACTATGGATAGGCAGAGAGTCGCAGAGAAGCCAAGGAGCCTTGCAGCTGCTGTCCATCCACCCGGCTTTCAGTGACGCTTTGGAGGTGGAGGTCTGCCAGGTGAGGCCATGGCTGCATGAGAAGGGCAGGGGGCTCAGAGGTTACATGGGCGGTCCTGGGACAACATCGGGTTCTGGTTGCAGAGAGGGATGAGATCGACGCGTGGGGTTAAGTTTGAGGGTGGGGATTGGGTTTGAAACTGAGGCTCAAATCAAGGCTGGCAGGGAAGAGCCGTGAACACAGGTGACACAGGGACTCCCCAGGCCCTTGCTCAGGTTTCCCAAGCCTCAATGGTTCTGACTGGTACACTTCAGAAAAAGCGGGATTCTAGGAAGAGCCTGGATATGCCCACATCTCCCCCACCAAGCAGTGTCCTGAAGCTGACAGAAGAGCAAGCAGCAGACACACAGTCCCCATCAAGTAAAGGAGTGGCTGGCGCTGTCACTACATCCGCAAAGCACAAGAGCAAAGGGAGGCGATTGAACGCCACCCACTGAACTGTTAGCAAGACATGAGTGGACGCACGAAGAAATCGCTTGAAAAGTGTGATTTCCTGATGACAGACCTGAGCAGGAATGAAGAGACTGAAGATAAAGGTGTCTTCACCTCGCCAAGATCAGTCACATCCTGCAGAACCTCCGTTCATTCAGCAAGCAGCCAGGCTTTATGCTAGGCCCTGGGGAAATGGCAATTAAGGAGACTGGGTCTCTGTTCTTACAGAAAACCCCATCTGATGGGGAAATGGCTCCTGGCCCTCAATGTGGTGGTAAGCTGCAGTAATGCATGGGAGGCCCCTGGCCTAGTGGCAATGATGTTTAAGCCGAGATCTGAAGGATAAGTAACAATGGCATGCCAGAGAAAGGAGAAGGGGGTGGAGCCAAGTGGCCAGGGGAATATTTCTGGGCTCGGTAAGTAAGCCAGGTCCCTGCCAGATGGGGAATGAGAAGAGCAAAGCCAGGAGTGACCGCTGATGATTATTTTTTAACTGAGGAAGGAAGATCCTTGAGAACCCAACCTCTTGGGACCTTCTACCCAGAACACCAGAGCACCTCACAGGGATCAGAGCCAGGCCCTTGAGTGGATTAAGTAACCAAAATTGATTGTCCTGAACCATGTGTCTGTCTGTTTACGGAGAGAGAAACTGTGATGAATTAATCCACAGGTCCAATGGGACTTTGACTTAATTTGTAGAAATAAAATTGGCTTTTGATTTTGTCACCTGGATTCCCCAAACACGTATCCACAGAGGGGAACTGTGGTCCCCCTCGACCTGCAGGGTGGCCCCGGGCCTGCCCCGCCCCACTGGCAGTCGCCCAGGAAGGTGTGTGGGACAGAGCTGCAGCCGGTGCGTGTCTCCTTCGGAGACTTTCTCACGAAGCCCGTCCTGACCAATCCTCTCTGCTCTCTGTGTTTGTTTCGTGTTGCCTGGACACCGGGATAGAAGGCACCAAGGGGAAGGTGGTGCCACAGGGGCGGGGTTCAGAGCCAACACAGCTCTTCCAGGGCTGCAGGGACAGCGGAAGTATTACCTGGCAGGAGGGCAGCAGGCCCAGCCCAAGGGATAAAGTTGAAGATTCCCCACTTCTCCCAGTTTCCTCCCCTCAGCAACCCCTCCCTGAAAAGCTCGCATAGCCCTGTGCTTCCAGAACGACAGACGCTTCCCCTCAGGGTCAGCCTGCACCGCGCCCGGGGTAGGCGGTATCTGAAAAGAGGCTGTGTAGAAAGAACCCGGCCCTGTCTTTTGTGGTCCCAAGGAGCGGAACTAGGTCCACACATCGGATTCACAGGAAGACATATTGACTCAATATGAAGAACCTTCTGGACATCAGGGCTGATCCGAGATGGTTTGGGTTGCGTTTTGAGGTAGTGAGCGCCCTGTCTCAGGATGCACAAGCTAAGCTCAGACTGTCCAACTTTTACTGAGACCAAGTAATGTCCCGCTGTGATTCGAGTCACAGGCGAGGATGCTTAGGCTTTCAGGGGTAGTAAAGGACATCCCAGCACCCCACTGAATCAGAGTTTGACTAGAGTTTACAAAGGAGATTCAAGCATCAGAGACTCTTTGGGGGTCCCTTTCTGCTTTGAGATTCTAAGATTTGGTGTCCATCCCCACTACCCAGGGACAGTCTTCCCAGAGGCCATGCAGAGACGCTCATTGGCTCTGGACAGTTTCTTCCAAGCCCAACCCTCCTGCTCCCCACTCCCATTCAGCCCCTTCTGACTCTTCTTTCTGGGAGTCTTCTGAGAAAGCATCTAAAATCTCAGCCCTACTCCTGTCCAGCCTCAAAGTCATCAAAGGGCATTGAGATGACAACGAGCCCTCTCTTAAGAGGACATGGGTGAGAATGCAAAAAGAAGCACGGAGCTTGCACCTCAAGGAGAATGTCCCAACTGGGAGGGATGTGAGGTTTGGGAGCCAGGAAAGAGGGAAGGTCTGAGCTATTTAAAGCCAGACAAATCAAGAATAACTCTACGGCGTCGGAAATGAGGACCTTCCAGGTAACCTTGGCATGATTTCCCCTGACATATCTCAGAGTCTGGTAGGGGAGGCAGGTTGCTGCAGGCAGCAGTCCAGGACGGGAAGAGACCTATGGTCTGGAGTGAGCCATCTGCTTCTTGCGCAGTTCTCCGCCAGCTCCCACTCTTTGCAGAAGCAGCAGTTAGGAGGAGAGAGAGTGAGAAACAGAGTGAGGCGCTCACTGTCCCTGAGCCTCCACAGCCCACAAATCCAGACTTCTTGTCTGAGGCTCCAGCGTCTCCTTCCATCACCTAAACCGTAGCCACTCTTCCTCACCCTGAAAGCCTTGTCTGTCTTTGAACTCTCTCAGCCCCTTTCATCTGACCCTAATCCAGACGCTTTTACTGAGACCAAGTAATGTCCCGCTGTGATTCGAGTCACAGGTGAGGGTGCTTAGGCTTTCAGGGGTAGTAAAGGACATCCCAGCACCCCACTGAATCAGAGACAGCATGGCTTAGCAACCAGGGCAGCTGCTGAGTCACATCCAGCTGGAGCTCCTTCTGCAGCTAGTGCAAAAGTACTGAGGCCACCTCCAAGCCACAGCATAACATGGTGTGGGCAGCAGGCACATGTGGGCAGGTAGGGCATAGAGCCCAGCCAGGAGCCAGAGGCACGTGCCTGGGAGGTGGCTGCCCACAGATCTGACTCAGTGCCTCAGAGGGAGCCCAACGCCTAGATTCTCTAGAGTGGAGTAGTTGGGTATGCCATTTTAAGGGCTGGAAAACCCCCCAAGGCAGAAGACAGGGGGCTGGGAAGTCTTCAAGAAGCTAACATGTGCCGGGCGCGGTGGCTCAAGCCTGTAATCCCAGCACTTTGGGAGGCTGAGGCGGGTGGATCACGAGGTCAAGAGATCGAGACCATCCTGGTCAACATGGTGAAGCCCTGTCTCTACTAAAAATACAAAAAATTAGCTGGGCATGGTGGCACGTGCCTGTAATCCCAGCTACTCAGGAGGCTGAGGCAGGAGAATTGCCTGAACCCAGGAGGCGGAGGTTGCGGTGAGCCGAGATCGCGCCATTGCACTCCAGCCTGGGTAACGAGCAAAACTCCGTCTCAAAAAAAAAAAAGAAGCTAACATGTACCTTTATATAAAATAACTTAAAAAAGAGATATAAAAAGATCAGATATCCATATAACAATTCAATAATAGTGTGGGCACAAGAAAAAAGGCTTTATGTTAACAAAGACAGTGCGGCAAACTGTCCTTCCTACTTATCTCTTACAGCCTTTCACAAAGCCCTGCGCTGATTCAGTGGCTTAGATGGGTACACAGAGCTCACCATCTCCGCCTCGGAGCATGGGAAGGGGAAAGCTGAAACCTCCTCAGCAGAAAGCAGCCGCAAGGAAGGTCCAACCTCTAGCAGCAAGACTGAGCCTAGGAATCCACTAGAGTCCTCAGAAGAATGTCCATTTTCTGCTTTCTTTGTCTCCAGGCCCTAGCCTGACTCTGCAGGCTCGGCTCACAGTGTCCTGCTGGGTCTACCACCACGATCATGCACCCTAACCCCACCAGCCCTCACTTGAAGCCGGGAGATTTCTCTGTAATTATCCCCACTGCCATTCCTGAAGGAGATTGGTAGAGGGTTTTTAAAAGCTGCCCAGAGGTAGTTGACTGCCCTCGGATCCCAACTGCCTGCCTGGCTCTCAAGAGTGTCACGCGTCTTCGAACTAAAGTCTTACTGGTTCAGACTAGTTCAGAGCCCATGAAAGCCTGGGTGTGGCTTCTCAGGAATCCTGAGAGAAGAAATTGAACCTCTCCTTCACTTCGTGGGCCAATTCCAAGATGGAGAACTCCCAATGAGAGTGGAAGGGTCAACGCTGGGGCAAAGCCCTGAGATTCTCTCCCAAACCATCTTCACCTGCTCAGAAGCGGCTACGCTCTCTCTTCAAAGCCCGGCCTTTATTCGTGTAACCTGTAACTGCCCTGCGTCCAGGCCCAGTCAAGACAGTCTCACTTTTAGTAAGGCCTTGGGATCTTCCAGGACCCAAAGACCTACATTTTCACCAGCAGTAGCTCTGGTCAAACGCTGGCCTCACTTTCAACCTGTGGTGTCAGCCCATGTTTCTCTAAGTGGGCTCAGAAGTCAGCAGTGGGTGTGGAATCGCCTTTCTCCTCAGCCCTTTCTCCACAGTGGCTCATTTTTTCCAGTCCTGAGATGGATGACGTGGGTGTGAGCCTGGGAAAACTGTAAGCACCTAGGCTCTTTCTGGCTTCGCTGAAAAAGAGGGTCCCCTGAACTAGGCAAAGCCTTGGTTCCTGGTCCCCGCAGGTACCAGCTGAGCAACAGATGATGCTCAGAGAGAACCTTTGCCAGTGTGCCAACTGCAGATGAGTCCCAGAATCCTCAGTGGCAATGCCGTGTCTTCTCTGCCATCTGAGGCTGGGTACCACATCTTCCCAAGACCCCCAGGGAGGAAGGCCTCAGCTTCCCTGGGAAGGAGGGTTGGGGTTAGGGGTGCCGAGGCTTAGGAAAGCCTCTTTCCCAAAAAGCTGGTGGGGCGGGGCAACAATCTTTCCTGGTGGGAAAGGTGGAGAAGGTGCCTGGGAAATCCATGGCTGTCCTGTGGAAAAGAAAGCACAGGAAACAGCTTACTGACTCTCCCTGGGTCCTATGAAAAGAGGACTCTTGCCTGAGGCCCTCGTAACCCGGAGTTGTAAACATCCATGACGCACCCAGCAGCTTCCTCGCCTCCTCTAGCGCAGGGCCCATTGAGGAAGGCAAGGCTGGGGGTGCAGAGGGACCTCATCATCACAGCAGCTGGAGGAAAGCCCTTTCCTCTAGGCATGCAAAAACAGGGACGGGCCTCCATCCCTACAAGCTGGCACTCCAGCCCCAAATGGGCACCTGACAACCAGGTGAGAGGCCAGAAACGCAGAGACGATTCCGAGCAGCTCAGGAGAGAAAGCAGGAGCAGACTGGCACAAATGAGAGGCTTCTGAGGGGGCAGCCGTGTCTGCTGTGCTCAGTGAGTGCCTGGAATGTGCCTGGTATGTGGCAGGTTCTCAGTAAATTTCTGAACAAGCGAATGAATGATTATAGTTTGGGGCAAAATGAGAAAAGTTAAAAACAGATGAAAATGGCTTGAGAGCCACACCTATGGGAGTGAGGTGGACTGAGGAGAGCCCAGCCACAAGAGGGGGCTGAGTTTGGGTGAGGGGACTGGACTGGCAGGGTGGAGAGTGCAGGGCTCTGCGTGTGTCCCAGCGGGGGATGGGCCAGTGTCTGTGTTGCAGCACTGCCTGGAATTGAAAGGGTTCTATCAGGAGAGAGCCGAGATAGGCAGAGTGAGCCCCAGGTTCAAACATCACCCCTCGACAGATGTGATCTGAGTCATGCGTGTGATCCCAGTAAGAGCCCTGCCTCACCCAGCCCTGGTGCCTCCTTCACCAGCTGCACCTGGCCAAGCCTTGCCCCAGCCCCTCCCTGAGAGGCATCTGTAGCTCACCCTCAATGCCCTGAAATGCCTCTGAACTGGGCGTCGGGGCGGAGCGGAGACAAGATTGTTCTGAAAGTTGACATCCCAGGGGATCACAAACGGCCAGGAGACACCAGGACAGAGGGACCTCCTGGCTTAGGAGAAACCATCAGAAAAGAGCATCTTCCCATTCCCTTACCCTCAGCACCATGCCACCCACACTCGGGTCCTCCACAACCTATTCTGCTCCACTTCAGTACCTGGTAGCAGCCAGATTCCC